ATATCTTTCTGGTATTATTTGCTTTCAGCCAAGAGCCATCTGACTTCAGCAATATCCCTTGTTCCATATCCTCTTATGAATCTATCTTGAATTCCTAGTTGTTCCTTATTGATGTACTGCTGCAATTGTTTTTGAATTATCTTCAGTAAAATTTTACTTGCATGTGGTACTAATGGTACTAATGGTATTATTTGATAATTTGCTCATTCTGTTGGATACCCTTTTTTGGAATGGGCACAAATATGGATCTCTTCCAGTTAGTTGACCAAGTAGCCATCTGCCAAATTTCTTGGCATAAATAAGTGACCACCTCAAGTATTGCATCGGTTTGTTGAAACATCTCAATGGTTATTTTCCAAATTTCTGGTTGTGCAAATTTCTATTAATGTGATCGCCATCATCATGTCTATCACCAAGGGGCCATATTTTCCAAGTAACAATGTATCTTCTTTGTTTCCAACTTTTGGATTCCAATGACCAGTAATTATCAATACATTTTGATTGCATGGCTGGTCAATTTCAGACTGTAAATTTGGTAAAAATCTTCAATTTCTTCATCTTTAAGCATTAGTGGTTGATGCATAAGTCTTAATAGTAGTAGTATTAACTGGTCTCCCTTTTAGGTGTACAGATATTATCCTATCACTGACAGCATTGTACTTTATAGTATAGATCTTGAAATAATCTTTTTGACAATGAATGTGACCCTATTCCTCTTTGTCATTTACTGCACAATGGGCCATTTCAGCTCACTAATGCCTAGGACATGGATCTTTAGGCATTCCATCCTTATTTATTTTTTACAACGTCCAATTTTCCTAAGTTCAGCATTCAAAGTTCCAGTTATTAATGGATATTTGCAGCTGTTTCTTCCCATTTTGAGTCATGCCACATCAGTAAATGAAGGTCTCAAACATTTTAGTCCATCTATGTCATTAAGGTCACCTCTACTTTGAGCTCTGGTGGCGTAGTGCCTAAGGCACTGATAACCAGAAGGCTGCTAACCAGAAGGCTGGTGGTTCAAACCCACCGCCACTCTGTGGAAGGAAGACTGGGAAATTTATTTCCATAAAGATTTACCACCTCGGAAACCCAAAGGGGGTCGCTATGAGTCAGAATCAACTCAATAGCAGTTAGTTTCTTTTTTCCTACTTTGAAGAGGCAGCTCTTCCAGCACTATAACAAACAATGTTTTCCTGCTATTCATAAGGTTTCCAGTGGCTATTTTTTCCAGAAGTAGACCTGGCCATGTACTTCATCCCTGTCTTAATCTGGAAGCTCTGCTGAAATGTGTCCACATGGATGACCCTGCTGGTATTTGAAATACCAGTGGCATAACTTCAGCCTCACAGCATCACACAAGTCAAAACAGTACAACAAACTGAACAATAGGTTGTGGTTAACATAAATAATATACTTAAAATTTTTTTTGTTTCAGAGACTTATTGACTAGCATTCTTATTCCAGTTTAAATGCACATATTTTCTCTTTATTCATATGTTCAACCGCTTTCTTTTCTTACTTTTACATGATTTATTCTAATTTCTCCTTGGGAGCTCTGGTTGGTGTAGTGCCTAAGGCTAGTGGGTTTGGTTTTGGTTTTTTAATTTCTCCTTGATATGACTGTATTACAAGGTATTGCTATTAATTTTTACAGAAGGCACAATCCTTAGGTGATAGAATAGCATACTCAAAACTCACTGCTGTCTCGTTGATTTGACTCATGGTGACCCCTCCTTGGGTTTCTGAGGCAGATCTCTATTGAAGTAGATTGCCCAGTCTTCCTTCTGAGGAGTGGTGGGTGGGTTTGAACCGCCAGCCTTCTGGTTAGCAGTCAAACACCTTAGGCACTATAAGATTTAAAAAAAAAAAAAAAAAAAGAAACTGATACTGGAATCCTCATCCACTGTTGGTGGGAACGTTCAGCAAAAATTATACAGCCACTGTGGAAAACAGTTTGGCAGTTCCTCAAAAAGTTGAACACAGAACTACCATATGACCCAGAAATCCTAATCCTAGGTATATACCCAGAAGATGTGAAGGCAGGAACATAAACAGAAATGTGTATACCTGCAAAAAGGGCAAGGAGGCCACATGTTCCGATCTCCTCTAACCTTACAAGAGGAAGACAGGATTACCAGCAGTAACCCAAGGCCTTTTCCTACAAGGCCAGACATGCTGCCTCCCTCCAGCCCTTTCACCAACCGTTCCTCCCAAAGCACCCACCACCTCTCTCCTAGGTTCAATAATTCGCTGCAGTGGCCACACAGAGCTCACAGATTATGGGGTTTATTAGGGAAGTACCACAGGCTACAATTCAAGTTCCGGAAAAAATGCTCAGTCTCTCTCCCAGCCCACCGTCCCTCAGCCAACAGTCTCTCACAGTCTCTTTCCCAGCAGTGCTGGTCCCTTGGTGTCTCACTCAGCGATGCGTGTCTCTTGCGTCTCTTTCCCAGCAACACGTGTCTCAGAAGCCCGTGTCTCTTTCAGCAGCACGTCTTCCTCAACCAGCAGTCAGAGAGAGTTCTGCCTCCAGGAGGCCTCCTTTTGAGCTCAGCAGGGTGGTCAAACTGGCCAATAGCATCAGAACTCTAAGCACCTGAGAGAGAGTGGGCACCTCCCAGAACATTGTTTTGTGCCACTCCCAACAGAAATACTCCAGGTGGACAACTTCAGCAATCAGGAGCTCCTCAGGTGCTCATAGAAAATCCCACCTTGGAGTTTACGAAGACTTATGGGTAGAAAAGCCACACTAAGTAATTTACTACACTGGAATACCAATGTTCACTGTAGCATTTTCACCATAGCCAAAATGTGGAAACGGTTAAATAAAGTGTGGTATACAATGGAATAATGAAGTCGTGATGCATTCTGTAACATGGACAAATGGTGAAAACATCATGCTAAATGAAGTAAGTCAACTGCAAATGAACAATAGGGTGTGATCTCACTTAATGAAATAAGTATATAAAAACCAAAGATTGCTAGTGGTTCCCAGCTGTCTTAGTTATGTAGTGCTGCTTTAACAGAAATACTACAAATGGATGGCTTTAACAAACAGAAATTTATACTCTCACAGTTTAGGATGCCAGAAGTTTGAGTTCAGCAGTGGCTCTACGGAAAGGCTTTCTCTCTCTCTCTTTGTTCTAGGAGGATCCCAATGCAGAGACCTTGGGTCCAAAGGATGTGCTCTGCTCTTGGCTCTTCTTTCTTGATGGTAGTAGGTCTCCAAAACTCTCCTCACTTCTTTCTCCTTTTATCTCTTGTAAGATAAAAAGTATTGCAACCCACACCCTAGGGAAATGCCCCTTACATCAGATCAGGATTATGACTGGATTAAGGGTGTTGTATCTCACCCTAATCCTCTTACAACTGATTGGCTTATCACAGCAGATAACATCATGGGGATCATTACATAACCGCTACATTACATCATTACGTGGCCAAACCACTGATGATCATGGTTCAGCCAAGCTAACACATATTTTTTGGAAGACATAATTGAATCTGTGACACCAGATGTAGGAGTAAGGGTGTAAGGGGTAGTTTTTACTTAGGGGGCACTGAGCTTATGTTAATAGTGGTGGAATGACTTGGAAAAGAATATTGAAAATGATTGTATAACTTGAATGCAATCAATGTCACAAGTAGTATATGTAGAAATTGTTGAGCTAACGTATGTTTTGCTATGTATATTTTTTATCACAATAAAAACATTAATTTTTTAAAAAAATGACATATAAGAGAATCACACCTCATGAGGTATGGTCCCTTACTAATCCTGTTAGACACTCAAACTGTATCTGGTAAAAACATTCCTTTAAAGCACATAATTGCCAAAAATAATACGGAAAAGAAAAATTGAAAGGCAAAAATGATTCTTAAACAGGTAACACTATCAGAGGCCCATGAAAAAGAGACCAAAAAAATGTTATTGTAGTTCCCCCTCTGACATATTCTTGTATACTTTTTCAAATAAGGACTGATCAGTGACAGCTCTGGAAGGGACACCAAAAAATCATTATTCCATCTCATATTCCCTAAGCAGATTTTAAATCAGAAAACTTGACTGAAAGGTTTAAAATATTTCAAATGGTTGCTCTATGGTTGTTTGCTTTGGTGTGAAATTTCTATGCTGCATAAAACTAAAGTTCATTTGACAAAATATTTGCTGTATTTAGCAAAATAAATAGGCCAAACAAGGCAGGTAAACAAGGTTATGTAATTAAGTTGCAGTTCTACGTATTTCCTGTACTAGCAAGAATGACAAAAAGATCTCCTCATTATCAGTAAGGAACTGATGGATTATTTTCAGACAGTCTAATTTGAAATACATATCTACAACATTCACAGTTTATATAATAGTTCAGACCATTTAAGAGATAGTACCCATTGATGTCTGGTCAATTCCAACTTACAGTGACTCTATAGGACAGAGGAGAACTGCCTCATAGGGTTTTCTAGACTGTAATCTTTACAGATGTAGACTGCCACCTCTTTCTCCCACAGAGCAGCTGGTGGGTTTGAACCACTGTGCCACCAACGCTCCTTAAGGGGTAGTAAAGAGACAAGAAAACCAAGTATTTTAAGACCTAGATCTTTAATATATCAAGTAACAAGGAACAATATTAGTATTTTATTTGTGACAACGATTTAAATGACATTTACTATCATTTTATGGGCACAAACATTTGTACATCAAAGTATTTTTCTAAAGGAAAGTCATAGTATGATTAAAATAATGTATAGAAACATAATAAAAAGCTAAATACATCCTGAGCCATAATTACATTGCTTCTAAATTCTCCTTATTTTCAAAAAACCACAAGGATAATTTAACTAACAACTGTTTTCTAAAATGTCTTAATCAACTTGTTGAAACATAGGAAAACTACGCTGCCACAATGCTGATTTAAGGATTTTAAAGAATAACAAACATTTTAGAAACTCAAAAGGTAACCTTGGGTATGGAAATTTTATATTTGCTTAGAATACAGATCAGATATTCATTTTCTGCTTGCTGAGGTATTTGGGGAAACCTAGTTTTAAGACAGTCTTTTTGGAAAGAATATGTTTCTGAAAGAGCACTGACAACAAACATTTTTTAAAATCAGGTTTAATCAATTTCATTTTCTTTAATTTTGAAGGAACTTATCTTAGATTTCCTTTTGAAATGCTTCTTCCAAATTTTCTAACCAAGCTTGAATCTATTTTATGGTTGTTTCTTTTATATTCTAGGGAATAAAGAAAAAAGATACACAAACATGGTAAAAGTATCATTCACACAGAATTTTTGCTATTCATTCAACATATAAAAATGTGTTGAAAAGTGTAACTCTAAAAAGGAAAACTTATTCTTAAAATTTATAGCTGTTAATTAACACAATTTTTAAAATCACAAGAACAAAGAAACATTAATACCTTTGGTTGACAAACAGTTTTGCCAAATTCATTTCTCCACATTGTGAACTAAAGTTTCAAGCACAAACCCCATCCCACAGCAAGTGAAGTCACTGAATACTACATTTACTTTCATTCCTTCTGAACTAATGAAAGATTATTTCCACAGGCATTTATTCCCTTTCTTTCTTGCATTGTCAATGTTTTTTTCCTCATTCATTAGATCATTTCCCCAGGGTTTTTAAACTTCCGTATTTTTTCAAATTTACAAGTACTTCATTAGCCTTTGCAATGATTTTCTACTCAACAAAATATAGTTATAGCAGCATGTCATTGACTTCTTTCTGCATTAGTCTAACCTGGTATCCATTTTCTCCGTCACATTAGTTTTAGTTTTGGGGATACTCTTTTCTCTTGACACTATTTCTTCTTTCTTTAACTGCTCTGTCAACAGCAATTGCCTTTTTTTCAGCTGATGGTGCTTTTATTTTTTTGATTTCTACACTGTGAGTTGGAGAACTCAGCTGAATACATTCTAAGGATAGCAGTTCCAACTCTCCCACTTTTAAAGTGATTTTTGATGTGTATTAGGACATTTTCACTTAGTTTTCCTAATGTATGTAAAACTTCATCTTCCCTTACAAACCAAAACTTGTAAGCTCTCCATTATCCTCAATGACATGTAATTTTTTAACCTAGTATTAACTCTTTACTCTTTAGCAAATACTTTGTTTTAGTATCATCTATTTTTTTTTCCTCCACAGTAGTTCTTAATTCACCTCTCTCTCTCCATGAAATGTCTGATACGCCGGCAGTCCTCAGGTTATGAATGAGACCTCTTCCCAACTGTGTCTTTATGAATTTGTAGGTTAGTTGGAACAGTTGGATGTGGTTCTTATTTAGCCTTACTTTAGTGCAAGAAAATGCTAGAAGCCTTTTCAATGATTTAAAAGCTGCATGTTCAGTAAGTGAATGTGATTGTGATGAAGAATTTCTTACAAAGAGGTGTTGGTCTAATTGTTTCAAAGTGAGGGAAAATTTACATAACACTAAAGTAGGGCACCTGCTCAAAGGTGGTGGCAGACTGAGCTGTTTTGAATGTCTGTGACTCTCCACTGTCCCGCCAATAATCCAATTTCACACATCAAGCTCCTGATAATAGGGCTAACTATGCCTCTTCCAGGTCTCCCATACCAAGACTTCCATCCCTAATTTTTTTGTTCTGATAATCATGATGGATCACCCAAATTATAAAAATTTTGGTCTGTGTTTATTTTACCTTGTTGGCTATGACAGAACCGGACTGAAGCCCTGAATTAAGTGGCAAGTACGAATTGTCTGTCAGATGTCTGTAACCTGAGGACTGCCCGTATTTTACACTAACCTTAGAAAATAAGCATATGAGAAAAATCAAATTTCTATGACTTTCAAGTTTTCATAAATTTATTATTTGCTTAAAGAATTATAACTTCTTCAGAATTTTTCAGGAGACTAATGGGGCAGTACATATCTATAGTAACTACAGATACGCATTATTAAACATTAAATATGGCATGTCAAACCAAATAATCTTAGTAAATCTTACTTTCCAGACCTTATTATTTGATTTTTTTAATTTTTAATTTGTATGAAAGGAGTTTCCATTAAACTTAAATAAACAATTGCTAGTGCTACTACATGAAGTATGCATTTATTAGAATAGTTTGGCAAAACTACTGAAGTATGTGGGAGCTCTGGTAGCATAGTGCCTAAGGCATTTGACTGCTAACCAGAAGGCTGGTAGTTCAAATCTACCAGCCACTCCTTGGAAGGAAGGTTGGGCAATCTACTTCTGTAGTGATACCACCTCAGAAACCCAAGGAGGTGTCGCTATGAATCAAAACGACCTGAAGACAGTGAGTTTCTTTTTTTTTTCTTTTTTTGATATATGTAACTTGTGGATGATAACATGTGTTCTACAATTTGATAAAAATAACAGTATATAAAAGAAGATGCTTTTGAAGAATGTATAGTACTATTCAGATGTTAGGTAATCATGTTATGAAATATCAAAATAAGAGCTAAGACTTACCCATTGTTGATCTGTTTTCTTGTAAATGTTTATCACTTGAACTATCCTGTCGAACACGTTTGGCAAGTCCAGAATTTACTGAAGCAGTTAATGAAGTATTTGATTCAGAACTTGGGGGAAAAAATTATTTTAGTACAGCATTGTTTTTGAAAAAAATATCTTTAAGTTCTAATACATATTCCACATGCAACAAACATAAATGAGATAAAATACAAAAGTATTAAATTTTGAAATCCTATAGATGTAATTGTAGACAATAAACAGAACTTTAGTCCACAGACAAATTTTAACTGTTTATGATTTTAATGATATTTATTCAACTTGGATATTATGATTTTAGATGTATATAACAAATCTTCAGCAGAACATTTCCAGAGTGAGGAAGCATTGTTATTTAAAGTACAGTGAAAAGGAGCACAATCAAAGAAAGTGAACAAGTAACCTCATATTACAAATCTGGTTCAAGTATCCTAATCTGAGGAATATAAACAAGTGGGGTTGTTTTGATACCTTGTTGTTAAAGCATAGTAACAAAATCTCTGTGATTATTGCAATTGTAGAAACTGAAAAGACTGACATATTTTCATTTATCTTAAAAAAATATATATCTATTTCACATTGTTAATGGGTCAAAGTTCTAACTCAGAGTTGACATATTACTGAACATCCATTATGGTGTTTTGTTACAGGACATGCAAATGAGTAAGGAACAAATCTCTGTCCTGAAAGCTTATCTAACATATATAGGGTGGGGATGGGGAAAAATAAGACAAATCCACAAAATAATAGAAGATAGAGTAGTAATACTAGAATCACAGGTTTTCAGTCTATAAGGAGCTATAGATTCTTGAGTTTAGGGGTAGAGAGAAAATAGAATATTTTGCCATTAAGTTTGATTTGTGCCCTGAAAAACAACAATCTTCCTAATTGTAAAGGGTAGAGGGTGGCATGGAGGATGCATACCAACCTATTCTTACTCAATTAAGTTAATTTCATCATTGACAGATTTCTGGCTAATAAAGATACTATATACTATTTTGTAAAGTTAATGCTAATTTGACTGTCAGTTTGATTAACAATTGGAGACTTCCACTTTATGGCAATAACTTGCTCTTCTGACAATCCCAACTACACAGTACACTGTTGTGGGTATATGTTTGTGGAACAGGGAAAAGACAGATCAGTGGTATGCTCATTGAAAGCAGTCATAAATGGCATATTATTATGATAGAGAGGAAAAATAATTAAGGATGAGTACATTGAAGGCAAGGAAAAATTACTCAGCTAATATATCTTAATTTTAGGATCTCCTGAGATAAACAACTATGGTGTTCATAGGAGTGATTGCACCTACTATGTTCCAGATGCAAATAATATTTATCCAAAATGGTTATAATAAGGTACTAGTGCTATTGAGGGAGCTCTGGTGGCATAGTGCCTAAGGCATTTGACTGCTAACCAGAAGGCTGTAGTTCAAACCCACAGCCACTCCTCAGAAGGAAGGTTGGACAATCTACTTCCATAGTCATACTGCCTTGGAAACCCAAGAAGGGGTCACTATGAGTTGGATCCAACTCAATGGCAGTGTGTTTGGTTTAGCTAGTGTTATAGAAGTAAATGGGAGCTCTGGCAGCGTAGTGCCTAAGGCACTTGACTGCTAACTAGAAGGCTGGTGGTTCAAACCCACTAGCCACTCCTCAGAAGGAAGATGGGGCAATCTACTTCCGTAGCGATACTGCCTCGGAAACCCAAGGAGGGGTCGCTATGAGTCGGGTCCGACTTGACGGCATATAACAACAACAACAACATAGAAGTAAACAAATTCAGTTGTAGAAATTCCTTATTCCTAAATGATGCTAAATGAATTAAGTTACTATTTCCTTTTTTCGACTATTTGGTGACATACATGTTATAGAGTATAAAGATTAATGCTATTGGCTCCTTTTGATAAGTTCTGTTTTCCCCTGTAATTTATCTTAAAGTTGTTTTTATTATTTTATGATATGATTCTTCACTTTGGTTAGTTCCAGAATCTTAATTTTCACTCAGTGCATGTTCTTATTTGAAAATAAAGTTTCTAAATAAGTCCATTGGAATAAAGTTCACATTTATTGGAATGAAATCCAAGATTAATCAAGTAAATCATATACTTATATTAAAGTCAAATATACCCAAGTATTTTTAGGATTTAGATAAAACATACCACTGATAAAATGTTTAACATTTGTTATAAGTTGCATCATAAAATAAAAAGACCTAAAATTGATAGAAATGAAAATTTAAATTACTCTAAAGACTACATTAAGACAAAATCTGAAGATTCTTCCAATTGTGTTACAAATATATTTCCATAACCATTAGAGAAAATTAAGAATTAACATTCTGCCTATTACATATAATACATCTCATATTCTATGTTGAAATAATTTCTTGGTGGAATCATCAGGCAGCTTTCAAAACAAACCAAAAATGTATGATAAGCGTGATATCATTTCTGGCTGCTAAGAAAGACTGTAGCAAAACTAAATAAACAAACAAACAACCAAAAACCAAAAAAAAAGAACAAAAACAAAAACCAAGCAACCAAATGAGCATGCAAAATACAAAAACAAAACTCAAAACCTGGATTAATACCATTTATGAATAAAAGCTTATATATGCATATATTATGCATGTATATTTGGTGGACTGATTCACTTAGTAAAAAAGTCTAATTAGTAATACTAAAAGTTGATAAGATTAAAAAAAATTCTAGAATTCCCAACTTAAGTAGCAAGTGAAAATTCAGTTTGGTAAGTTTTGGAATATCTAGTGCTTTGGGACTCTAATATTTTTTGGAGAGATAAATTGATGCAGAATAAATGAAATAAAAGTATATGTAAAAGTTTTTCTTCTTTATTTTAAAAACCATTTTGTAATATATACACATCTAATTATGCATATGAAGCTGCTAAGTGGAAAATAACAAAGCCTTTTACTCTCAAGCTCATGTTGATTTAATTAGAGAAAAGGAAGATTAACAAAAAGTAATTATGTACATTTCTAGCATTAATCTCTTTTAACCTTAGTTAATAGCAGGATCTAATTACTAGTACCAGAGGGAATGTAACAGAGCAATTAATAGGCTAGGAGAAGTAAAATTACATTTATTACATGTCCTTTAATATTATTTCACAATGTTAGTTGCTCATGCAGAAGCCCTTTAATTTATCAACAACCACTCCAAATACTGTAACAATTCAAATACCTGAAAATTTCTTTTAAAATTATTTGATTTTGACAATGATGCGTTTCGGAAATACTCTTACCTATGACTCTTGCCACATCTTAGTTAACAACAGAGCACACTACCAGCACATGCTCACCATATGAAGAAACCTCACCAACATTAATTCATTAAGACTAACACAATGAAAATCAGCAATAACAAAATAACATGATAATGGTTAGTGAGGCTCACTCATTAAATAACTCACTTGCATAAAAGAGCCTATTTGAACAATTTAAATTTGTGTCTTAGCAATATACAAATATTCAAATGTCATGGAGAGTCTAGAGACATCTGGCAAAAATCAGTCTATGAAGTTTAAATCTATACTCTGCTGTACTTTGTTTTGGAGGGGCAAGAACAGATCCTAAATTAAACTCTAAGAAACACTTGGTGTGGCACAAATAAGTAGGCTATTTGTAAATTTATTTTCTCTAGCCCAAATGATAACAGGTCCATGGTAGAAAATAAGAATTTTAGAGTTATCTTAAGGTCTTCTACTTTTTTCCCTATAATCACATGGCCAAGAAAAAAGGGATAAAACAAATCATACCCATTATACATTTGGGATTTATCTTGTCACTGCATTCAAAGTTGTAGGATATAAAGAAAATGTACAATGAATTCATGTTATATATCTTGGTATATTTAAGATTTTCTCCTTGTTTTTGGTTTTAGATGTTTTATTATGATTACCTTGGTATGTTTTTCTTCATATTAATTCTGCTTATTAGGTTGCAGTGTTTCTTGAATCTATGATTTAATGTTTTTCAATAGTTTTGGAAAGTTTTCAGTCAGCATCTCTTCTTATTTTCCCTTTGTCTCCTTCTGGGCCTTGAAATGCAAAATACTAGCTCTTTTAAATCTTACTCCATGTTTCTTCCACTTTTTCTATATTTTTCATCTTTTTATTCTTCTGTGCATCAATTTAGATATTTTCTATTAGCCTAGCTTCCAGTTCACTAATACTCTCTTCTGCTGTGTCTAATCTGTTAAATTTACTGTTATTAATTTCAACAAATTCTATGTTTTTAGTTCTAGAATATTCATGTAATTCATTTTAATAGAATTCAGTCCTTTGCTGAAATTACCTATCTTCTATTTTTACTGGACTTATATTTTTAAAGTAACTATCTAATAACCTCAATATCTGTGCCATTTAATGGATCATTAGTTCTCTGTTTGTTCTTTTCTCTTGAGATTTGGTCATTTGATCTTGTCTTCCGGCATATGTGGTAATTTTTCATTAAGTAAAAAACAGTATGTATGAAAAACTAGAAGCTCTGTATATATTCTTCCAGGTAACATTTAATTTTCCTCTGGCTGGTAAGCAGAGACAAATCACCTTGATCCAATCAGGGCTTGAGATGGTCTAAAATTGGGTTTCAGTCTTTTGAGAACTGGTCTATTTCCAGTTGCCTTATCCCTAGAGAACAGTCCTTCAGGAGTGTCAAGTAAAATGCTAGAATGTTTAATACGGCCTCTCCTCCACTATGAATCCTGATGTCCAATTTTTGCATCTCAGCTTTATGAGAATGCCAAAATTTGGTTAGTATTTTAGCCTTATAGCAGTTGCATTCAGCTTTCTTTCTTTGCCTCTTACTTCACACAGTTTAGAACATGGCAATACTTTTGAGGTCAAAAGCTGCACAGAGTATTTTTGTTTCCCTAGCTGAAACTGCTAATAGCTCTAGGGTTTCATACTCTTTTTGTTCTTTTTGCCTTTTAGATGAATTGGAAAATGCTCAAATGGAAAAAGAGTCAGAGACAGTCCAGCTCTCCATAGTGTGTTTTCTTTTTCTCTAGAATTTTGGTCCCTGAAGTCCTGGATGTCTTGGTTTTTCTTCAGTGTCTTCAAGTTGCTGTTAGTGGAATTTGTCCAGCTTTTTTGATTGTTCTTAAAGGAAGGCTTGGTGTGATACAAGCTATACAACATAGCTGGAAAATGAAGTCCCTTTACTAACTAGATTTTAGCCATATATCAAAATTCATCAAAATAATGTAACTCTACAACTGAAGAAATTCAGGAATATCTAAGAGGAAAAATAACTAAACAAGTTAAAATTGTCACCAGAAGAAAAGTTAAAACTCAGTGACATTTTCAAAGGCTAGGAGACTTTTCAATTTATTTTTAATAATCTAAAATATGGAATACTTTATATAAACATCAAGTGATATATTTGGGCTTTATCAAATAGTATCTTCATTGATAATATAAATCCAGTGCTTCGTTTAGACTAGTTTACCATATGTATGTTTAGATATGAATTGATAGTCTAATTTTAAGAAATTAAAAGAAAACTGTAAGAAACAAACCATAAAGATAATCATATATATATATATATCTATATATATAAATATATAGATATAAATATATATAGTTACTGAACCACTTTATGTTTAATCATACCTTGTTAATTTCCGCTTCCGTTTGGCGGCTGCAGTCATTGCCATGTAGGATGGCATTATGCTTGGTATAGCCAAAGACTGTCTAGTTTGGAGTGAAGGGTCAAGCCTGTGTATTAAGCAGTGAAAAATGATTAATTCTGATTTATATTATGGAGAAAAAAGGAGGCAGATACTTCTATAATTAGAAAATCATATAGCATTGATAAAGAAAGAAAAACATTTTTCCTTATTGTGACACTTTCCTCTCTTGCCTCAGGGTTTTTTTTTTTTTCTCTTTTGTATCCAATAGAATTGCTATTAAGAGATTTCTGTATTCCCAGCAGTTTAAGAATAGTGAAGGTAGTTTTGTTCAAACTTTCAGATTAGGTGTGATTATACAGATGAAGTGAGAAAAGTATGTCTGCTTGGATGACATGAAGTCAACCTTACCTTAGACATAAGACTATTTTAGAATATGTTGAAGTTTATTAAACATCAACAGAAACTATGGGATTTCCTTCAGTGAAGATATTAAAGAATAAGAAACATGGTAATTCCCTGATAATGGCTTACATTATCTAACTTTGGAGTATTAAGAACAAACTAAATACATATAGGCTAGGTCTCTCCTAGCCTAATAAGGGTTAATGGACTTAAGATATCAAATTTCAAGCTTTAAATCACTGTTTTAGCAGATTAATATTTAGAGGAAAAGAATTAAGATTTAATAAAACATTAACTTTTTAAAATCAAGATAGCATATTTAAATCTATTAAAGAGACCTTAAATATATATAAGGAAGGAAAAGAGAGGTATTAGTTTAAAGGCTATGTTTAAAAAAAAATAGGAAGAGAAAGTTTAGAAATATCCTTTTCTTGTACCGTTGTGAAATGTTACTGTGGTTTGGCAGTGATTCTTTGTCAGGTAATTCACTTTTCAAGCTCTTGATATCTTCACATACGGTAAATGTAGAGTCCAAATCCCCCCGTCCACATTCTGTTTTCTTACGAAAGGGTGTATCTACCTCACATAACATTTTCAGAGAGTTATTACTGTTTATATTTGAGCTGACTGCATAAAAATTCATAGTATGTGATGATGGTTTTACTAGGGTCCCACTAGATGGAGTTTGGTAAAGTTTTCTGCAGTCTTCTGGAGTATATACAATAGGCTGAAGTTCTTTGCTGAAAGAATCATTGAGCTGAATACTTTCAGATAGCATAGACTTTTGGACAATTTTTGCTTCCAAGGGAGAAGGCATTAGTTTTCTTCGAGTTCTTTTTTGTGGAGGAATTGTAAATGGATTAGATTCATTTGAAGATGTGCCTGTTCAACAAAATTAAAAATAAAATATATCAATAATGCTGCCTTAATAGTTTTATAATAACTCCATCAATTAAAAAAGAAAAAACCAAACACCAAGAGTGAAGTACATTTTATGCCAACTGATAAAACTATAAAAGAAAATAAGTTAGAAAGGAAAAAGTAGTTTTTAAGTTAGTAACTTTAATGTTAACAAACCCATTAAAAAGTGACTCTATAAAAAATATATTGCAAATATCAACATAGAAGTCTGTGATATTATGTAATAATGGAAACAAATTTTCTACCATTTCCAACAGAATTCTTTACTAATTGCTTAGTATTCAGGCTTGATGTTAGATTAAGATAATAGTAACATATGTAACACCAGAAATTAGTAACTTGTAAAATATCAACATCACCTATTTAATACTAAATGGAAGTCTAGTCTGAATTAATAAGAATGGCAGTGACCAATAAAATCCCAAGTGAATGAAATAATTTTATTTGCTCATCTAGTTGCTTGATTTATCTTCTAAAACCCACCCAGTGCCACCGAGTCAACTGTGACTCACAGTGACACTACAGGGCAGAGCAGAACTGCTCCATCTGGCTTTCCAAGGCTGTAAATCTTCACGGAAGTAGACTGCTTCATCTTTCTCCCATGAAGTGGGTTAGTGGGTTCAAACTACTGATGACCTTTTGGTTAGCAGCTGAATGCCTTTATCACTATGCTGCCAGAGCTTCTTTTATCTTCTATAGGATACATAATTTGTAGGTTTACAAATAATTAGATTTAATACTAAAAATGAATGAAGATAACTGTTTTTTTTTGAAGATTTTAGAGTACTCTGCCAAAGCAATTCTTCCAAATACCAAGGACTTAATTACCTTTTCCAAGATCTATCCCACAACTTGTGTAGCTTGAGAACCCAAAAGTGAACCTATCCATCAGAAAAATCATAGTATGTGATGATGGTTTTATTAAGGTCCTCGCAGACGGAGTTTGATAAGTTTTAATGGACAGTTGATCTTTTACAAAGGACCAACATCAATTAAATGGGGAAGCGATAGTTTCTTTAACAAATGGTGCTGGTGAAACATAATATCTATGTACAGAATAATGAAACAGTATCCATCCCTTACACCAAATACAAAAAGTAACTTAAGATGGATCTTAAATGTAAAATCTAAAACTATAAAGATTGTTGTTGTTATGTGCCGTCGAGTCAACCCCGACTCATAGCGACCCCTCCTTGGGTTTCCGAGGCAGTATCACTACGGAAGTAGGATTGCCCAACCTTCCTTCCGAGGAGTGGCTGGTGGGTTTGAACCGCCAGCCGTCTGGTTAGCAGGCAAGTGTCTTAGCCACTATGCTACCAGAGCTCCCACTATAAAGATTATCAAAGAAAAAATAGGGACAAACATAGGGGTCCTCACTTACAGCCTAAATAGTCTATCGAACATAACCAAGAATGCCTAAACAGCAGAAAAGAAACCAGATGACTGGGACCTTGGAAAAATTAAGCACTTAAAGGCATCAAAAGATGTCTCCAAAAGAGTCAAATGAGAACTTAGAGACTGGGAAAAAAAACTTGGCAGCAACGTATCTGACAAGGGTTTAATGTCTAAAGTTTATGGAAAACTGCAACACCTCAACAACAAAAAGACAAATAATCCAATTAAAAGGACAGAGGACATGAAGTTTTGCAGACATTTCACCAAAGACAACATTCAGGTGGTCAATAAACACATGAATAAATGCTTGTGATCATTAGCTATTACCAAAAAAACCAAACTAACTGCTGTCAGGTCGGATCCGACTCATAGCGACCCCTCCTTGGGTTTCCAAGGTGATCTCACTACAGACGTAGATTGCCCAACGTTCCTTTCAAGGAGTGGCTGGTGAGTTTGAACCACCAGCCTTCTGGTTTGTAGCCAAATGCCTGAGGCACTATGCTACCAGAGAGATGCAAATCAAACAACAAGATATCATATTACCCTAGCAATAATACCAAAGTTCAAAAAAAAAAAAAAAAAAACCCAGAAAACAACAAATGCTGACGATAGAGTATGGGGAGATTGCAATGCTTTATACTGCTGGTGGGACTGTCAAATGGTACAATAACTGTGGAAAATGGTATATTTTCCTTAAATTGTTGGAAAATAGAAATACCATATGATCCACCCATTCCACTACTAGATATATCCTAAAGAAATAAGAGCTCTGACACAGATACATGTACATCCATGCTCATCTCAGCATTATTCACAATAGCAAAAAGATATAAACAACCTATGTGCTCATCAATGGATAAAACGATAAACAAACTATGGCACGTGCATACAATGGAACACTATGCAATATTAAAGAATAACCATCAGTGAAACACCTCATAACATGGCTGAACATGGAGGACATTATGCTGAGTTGATCACAAAAGGGGAAATATTGTATGAGATCACTATTATAAGTAAGTTCAGAAAAGATTTACACAGAAAGGACATTTTTTGATGGCTATCAAGGAAAGGAGGGAAGAAAGAAAACTAGTGAGAGAGTGTGCTGTTGAGTCAGCTCCGACTCACAGCAACCCGACAATAGAAAGGAACACTGCTTGGTCCTGCGCCAGCCTCACAATTCTTGCTATACTCAAGCTCATCATTGCAGCCACTGTGTCAATCCATCTAGTTAAGGGCCTTCCCCTTCTTCATTCTTTTCTCCAGGGAATGGTCCTTTCTGACAACATGATCAAAGTAGGTGAGAAGAAGTCTGGCCATTCTCAGTTCAAAGGAGCATTTCGGCTGCACTTCTTCTAGGATATATTTGTTAGTTTTTTTGGCAGTCCATAGTACTTTCAGTATTCTTCATCAACACCACAACTCAAAAGCATCAACTCTTCTTTGGTCTTCCTTATTCACTGTCCAGCTTTCACATGCATATGAGGCTACTGAAAATACCGTGGCTTGGGTTAGGCATACCTTAGTTTTCAAAGAGAGTTTAAAACAAAGAGTGTTTTAAAGTGCTCTTCAGCACTTCAAAGAGGTCTTTTGCAGCAGATTTGCCCAGTGCAATATATTGTCTGATGTCTTGACTGCTGCTTCCAATGGTGTTGATTGTGGAACCAAGTAATATGAAATCTTTGACAATTTCCATCTTTTCTCCATTCATCATGATGGTGCTTATTGGTCCAGTTGTGAGGATTTTCATTTTCTTTATGTTGAGATATAATCCATACTGAAGACTGTAGTCTTTAATCTTCATCAGTAAGTGCTTCAAGTCATCCTACTTTTAGCAAGCAAGGTTGTATCATCTACATATTGCACACTGTTAATGAATCTTCCTCCAAGCCTGATGCCACATTCTTCTTCATATAATCCAGCTTCTCAGATTGTTTGTTCAGAATACAGACTGAATAAGTATGGCCAAAGGATACAACTCTGACACACTCTCATTCCGATTTTAAACCATGCAGTATCCCCTTGTTCTGTTTGAACAACAGCCTCCTAGTCTAAGTACATGTTCCTCATGAGCACAATTAAGTGTTCTGGAATTCCCATTCTTCTCAGTGTTATCCATTATTTGTGATGACCCACACAACTGAATGATTTTGCACAGTTAATACAACACAAGTGAACATTTTTCTAGAGAGCAGACATGTAGTAATGAGGGTGAAGTAAAAGGTAATGTACAATAAGAAGGTTAGCATTACATGACCAAGGCAAAGGAAGACACTGGGAGGTGCACGGGGATTAAAGGCAACAAAGGTAAACACTACTATGTAACAATCCTGCAACAATAGTAATAACAAACAATAATCGAGTTGATACATAGGTAGAGATTCAAGATGACCAGGTGTGGGAAGGTGAATGTCACTATACCTATAAGTATATATAGATTTGACAGAGGATATTTCTACATATGTATCTGTATGTGCTGCAAATATATCCACATATAGTAGAGCATACAGGAGGCAAAGTTATGAAAACTTCTTTGCCATAACCAAACATCTTGAGGGAATGAGTCACTGTGCTGGGGGACTCAGGACTACAGTATCAGGGGCTATCTAGGCCAAAAGGCATAACAGATTCCACACAAAAACAATGTTCTATATCCTACTTTGGGGAGTAGCAACTAGGATCTTAAAAGCTTGAGAATGGCCATCTAAGATGCAACTATTAGTCAGTCTCTCCCAGTCTGGAGCAAAGAGAAGTGTGTGTGTGGGGGAATCAAGGATTTAGGGAAACCATTATTCCAAAGGACTAATGGACTGTATGAACCACAGCTTTCACTACTCTGAGACCAGAAAGACTGGATGGTCCCTAGCTACAGCTATTGATTGTGCTAATTGGGATCATAATAGCAATCCTGGACACAGTGGGAAAATACTGTAGAACAAAATACAAAACTATTTTTAAAAGAGACCTGACTTACTGATAGAGCCTGGTAGGACCCCCAAGACTATGGTCCTTAGACACTTTTCAAAACTAGAACTAAATCCATCCCCATGGATCAACTTTCAGTGGCCTATAAAGTGAACAATAATACTTGTGAGGAACATAATCCTCAGGCCAATCATGCAAGATCAAAAGGGCAGCATTTGCCCAAAAGCACAGTTCAGAAGGCAGGAAGGTTCAGGAAAGGAGGACAAATGGAAACGGGGAACCCAGGAGAAAAGCCAGAAGAGTACTGTTACATTGAGGGGACTTCAACGAATATCACAAAACAAAATGTGTGTAAACTGTTAAATACAAAACTAATTTGCCCTGTAAACTTTCACCCAAACCACACACATTCCTACTACTTCTCCAATGTCTTCATTACCTCTACTCTCTTCTGCATCCAATGTCTCCTTTTTCCTCCATCTAGTAAATGTATGTATACATTTACCTAAGAAGCCATACCTGACCTTCTAGACTTCTTATTGTACTCATATTCTTTTATTTCTAATTATTCTTTTGCCATTTCCTTCTTAGTCATCTGAGTCTCAAATAACTAGATTTTTACCCTTTCCCCTGCACTTTCT